TAAAAATAACAATATATATATATATATACACACACACACACAGTGTTATTATATATTATTTTTATTATTATTATATTATTATAAAAATGTATTTAATAATTTGTTATTGTTATTTTATTTAATCAGTTAATGAAGTGTGTTTGTACTTCAACACAATAATAATACTGATATAGCAACAATTTCTAAATATGAAATAAAATATAATAATAAAATATAAATATAATACTTTCTAAAATTGTATTCCTGAAATGCACATTGCTTGTTTCATTTTATAGCCATACAAACTCCCTAAAACAGTGTAAGCTGTGATTGTTCAGACCTGTGCTGTGAAGCAAATGTCAATACCAGTCCTAGGAAAAGCAGGCAGTGTGAGAAATCACTTGTTTTAAAACCAGATTCAGAGGCCATTTTGATTTAGATGCGTTTTCCCGAAGTCATGTTATGCTGTACAGCAGTATTGCTCATGAATTAACTACCGTGCTACCCTCTTTTGGCAGACGTGTTTCTTTTTGACTAGGTCATCAAATGCAAATGCTCTCTTTGAACAAGGTCAGAACCTGTGCAGCAGTAAACAAAGCAAAGGAAAACAATAAGCAGAAGACATGCTTGGCCAGAGAGCAGCAGATTGCTCTTCGCTGACCCACAATAGTCTATACTCACTTGTTTTGCAGGGAGCTCTGAGGTGGTTGCCCAGGCAACCCTGCCTATTGTGGCTGCTCGACTCAATACTGCATAGTGAAGCGTGTTAGCGTGCAGTGTCTCTATGTACTTACCACATATCACCACCACATGTGCTTCACTAATACTCCAAAGCCCAAGAGTCCAGATTATTGTTGTTGATGTGTACACACTTTTCACACCATAACTTATAGATCCAGACACCACACAAGAGTTTTCCTGCTGGGCTGTTCTCACTAATGAGTTTCCCGCCGCTTTTATCTCGAACAAGGAAGCCAGAGAGCTGGGAAGGCCAATATCAGACCGAACGCAATGATTATCTGTTTATCGTAATGAATAGTGCGGTTGACTTGTTATACCCGGCAGAATGATACGTGTTGCCTGCGACCCGCCCTGCTTACTAATCAAGGACTTTCTGCAGGTTTTTAGCACGGTTGCTAACATGCTAACCGCTAACATTAGCTTCTTTACTGACGTCAAATGGAAAGCTGCGTGTGGCCACGAGCGCCCCGTAATGCTGAGCCTATTTGCTGTTCAGTCTGGCCAGGCAGATAAGATGATGTTAATCTTTAAGACGCCCAGATTCGAGTGGACTGTAGCTCTAGCACTTCCTTGTCACTTCATTTAGAATATCTTATTAGTTTTTAACTGTGAAAATCACAGGAAAACACCCTCAGGTGATGTAAGCGGTGGTTTAGTATCATCTTTCTGTTATATGTACAAACCCAGTAAAAAAAACAAAACAAAAAAAAAAACATCTTAAACCAGCCTATGGTGGTTTGCTGGTCCTTCTGGCCACCATGCTGATCAGGCTAGCCTGTTTCGATGGTTTTCGAGGGTTTTGAGGCGCTCCGAGGCCAGCTGAACCAACTTAGACTAGCTTTTTTAAAATGAAGCGGCTTCTTTTAACAGCAAATTACCTTGTAAAACTTAAATGTGGTTTTGACATGTTAGCAATGCTGCCATTAACATTATTAGCGCTCATAAACTGGGTTGTATCACTTCACAACCTCACACTAAAATATATGACTTGTCATCATTTATCACATGGTTAATTTACTCTGCTTTCACACCAAATCAGATACCGTGAACGCCATTTTTTAAACATTTTTATATAACCAGTCATTTGGTTTAGCAGAGATGGTTTAAAATTATAGTGATTTTAGTGTTATGTTTTGATCTGCAGTCATCATGTCAGATGAAAAGTCTGTGAAGCGTATTCAGCAGAGGGTCTGACTACATTTATTTCAGTTTCAGTTCATCTCTACAAATGAATATTCATTTTAAAGCGGTCATCGGATGCTAATTTCACTTTTACATGTTGTTTGAACATAAATGTTAGGACAAGGCCAGTCTCTCAAAGCACGGTTCCTCACCCCACAGAAGAGAGGGGCGGGGTCAGCAGAGCTCATTAGCATTTAAAGCAACATGCAAAAAACTTGTTGATTTCTGCAGAGCTGATTTTAACAAGGTAAAAAGGGTGTTTTTACACTACCATACACTACCAAATTTTAACCAAAGTATGTTATAGACTTTTCATTAAGACCCTAAAGAATCATATCAACTTGTGGAAAATGGGCATCCGATGACCCCTTTAAAGAATCAAAGGTGTGTTTTAAATATTATTATTATTATTATTATTATTATTATTATATATTTAATTAATAATTAGTTCAAATGTGTATATAGAATTTAAATATTTCTATTGTTATATTTATTTAATATTTATATATTTGTATTTGCTATATACAGTATATACTAATATATAATACTGATAAATTGTATATATACTGATATACTGATGATATACTGATACTATATGATATACTGATATAATACTAATTGTATGATATATAAACGGTATAATATAAAATAATATATAACACAGATGAATGCTTTTAATTAAATAATACTTCATTATTTTGTAATTTATCTATATTGGACATAAACAAATAAATCTAGCATTTTTAATAGTTTTTTATTTTTATTTTCAATTTAATTAATTTATTAATTTTGAGGGGAAATATGTTTAACTGAATTATAATACTTTATTAAATGTATTTTATATGTATTGAATGAATGAATAGCATTTAAAAAATGTGTATTTGTTTATTTATTTATTTTGAGGGGAAGTATGTTTCAACTAAATTATACTTTATTCATTTTTATTTTATCTATGATGGATGGATGGATGGATGGATAGATAGATATTTTTCATTTTTATTTTCTGTTTTATTTATTTATTTATGAGGGGAGGTATGTTTGAACTGAATTATACTTCATATCTTGTTTGATTGATGATTGTCTGTGTGTATGTTGCGGATGTCTGCTTTTATGTGAACATATCAGAGGCAGAAAGAGCTAATGTTTGGGGACTCTGGGCAGGTCCTGTTTGATCTTAGAGATGAACTGCCATATTTTGTTCATCTTGACATTTACGTCTTAGTCTTGTGTGTTGTTTATCTTTCTTTCTTCCTTATTGAAAGATGGCAGTTTAGAAGATGACAATGATGAAGACGTGGAGAACGAGGAGCCAGACAACAGGGACTACGTGAGTGTTTTGAGATTTGTTCTGGAGGAAGACGTGAGCGGCACCTTCAACCCATGCACGCACGCACGCATCACGATCCTGCGTCGTAATTTTGACAGAGCGAACGATATGTGCGTAAATTCCACTGATTCATTCTCCCTCCTAAAATGTGATTGAAGAGCAGGTTCTGCGTGTGACAGGAGCCTGACACAAGCGACTTCCTGTTCTCACATAACTTCAATAATAGGTCCCCTGATTCAGCCATAAATCAATGACTTCACAATCCCGTTTCTGCTGAGACGCCAACACCAAACCAGTGTTGCTTTCCTCTTCGGCCCTCTTCAAATACTGCTAATGCATTTCTCATGTTTTCTCATGTCTGTGCCCCATCGTCTTGCCATAACATGGTGCTTTATGCCTACTCTGTAGTGCAAATGCGTGACTTTTACAGTGAAAAATGACCCATGTTGGTTAGTTGTGACCCTAATATGCCCACATGCGATATAAGCCCTCTTGTACTTTTATTTTACAACTACTGTATTAATTTGATTTGACAGTCCTCAAGAGATGCTACTTTACTAGTATCAGGTGACAAAATAGGCATTTGGGTACTGATAAAAAAATGTTTTAACTCAAAGATTAATAGATAAAATACAACCTAATGTTTTTTTTTTTCTTGGTATTTTATGCCATTTTGAAATTGTATTGGACAGTCACTTGGAAAACTTTGTGAGATGCCCTCAAAAGATGCTACCTTTGTATAAAAAAATAAAATAAAAAGGATAGATGGACAGTTGCAATTTAGTAATTTAATTTAATAGTAATCAAAGATATTCTTTGATTTAATACATTATTGGAAAAAGACTAATAAATGAAATATATATATATATATATATATATATATATA